ATATTGACATTTGCATGATGAACCTGTTTTTATCTATTTGTTACAATGTTTTTATTATACAATACTTTATTGATGAGTAGTCTTCAACCTGTTGAAACGGATACACTCCCCACACCTTTCTTTATGGAGAAATTGAAGATGCTTTGCCATTTGTCAGTAACTCCGCATATAGCTGGAGTTGATTCTTGTTTGTCAGGTATAGCCTCCACATTCACGGAGCTTGCAAATTTGGCAATAGCGTGTTTTGGACCAAAGCTCACTAAAGGGAAATTTATTGAACAAACAGATTTCAATATAAAACACAATAGCTGCATTGCTGTTAATAGCTATCAAGTTAGTTTTGGTTTATTGGGACCCTGTGAATGAGATACTTCCAAGTTGCCCTTTTATCAAAAGCCCTGTTGCAAATTTAGTGCTATGGCATGATTGATTCCTATAACATCTGATGTGTAGCTTCATACTTTCTTTACATCTTTGTAATGAAAAGAGAAGTAGAACATTTCTTCAGTATGGTCAAGTACAAGAAAACAAAATTTTCAGGAAGTAGGAACTTTTTTTCAGATAACAATACAGTGGACAATAATACACACAATGTTTATCCACCATATATTTGTTGGAGCATAATTCAAATAATACACAAGCTTTCACCCCACTTCTTGAGGTGTGGCCTCAGACCAGGTTTTTCTCCCATCGGCCTATAACACTATGCAACTCGATTGTTTTCCTGAGTTATAAATGCCATTTCCCAACTGTTTCTATCATAAAGACATGGAAAAAGATTATTAAACTGCAAAAACTTTGTTTTTGCAGGACATCCTGCAGCACATACTGCTATATTTTTTCAAAGAATATCTCATAGAGTCTCAACGAATTCAAAATAGTTTGTAGCAGCCACAAAAACAAAGTTTCTGGAATATAACAGCTGCCTTCAAAGTAAGTATCGTACAATTAAATGGGAAACAACACTTTCAAACCAAGAATGGCAACTGTGACAAATTTTGCTACGTAGTATAATCATACTCCCTTGCTGAATTATCCCCTTGTTGTGATGAGGAGGTTTGTGCGTTCCAGTGTACCTATGAGCAAAGCCACTAGAGCCATGTACTTCCAGAGGAGCATCCCATGGCAAGGAGGTCATAGGGGATGAACCAAACAAAGAACAGTCTGAAGACCCCAATGACAATGTGGTACATGTTACAACAGCTGTGAAAGCAGAAGTCAGTTGCAGTAGGTGTGTGTGTGTGCCAGAAGCAACTTCAGAAACTGCCAGCTACTTCTGGTGTGAGAGAATTGGACATTTTCCAGGGGATAACCAGATGTTTGATGTTTCACCAACCTTGTGGGGGATTCTCTCATGTCCCTGCATGGAGATGACAGATGGGAGCTCACCCCATCTCATGGATTCAAACCATCAACCTTCAGGTTAGCAGTTCAGCCAGGACAAGGGTTTAATCCATTGTGCCACTGCAGTTCCTAGCTGCTGTAGATGAGAGTCTATTGGTCATCATGTTAACCATGCTATAACGAAATAGCTAATTATAATGTACGTTTTAAATGTGTTTATTGATGTTGGGATATGATAAGTGCAGGCCAGCTTATGTGTTGCCTGAGCCGAGGCATTGCCATAGCGACAGAACCAATCCGGGAAGAAGGTCAATTGTGTATATTAAAGGAATAGAAATACATTTGGACAAGGATATCTGATGTTGATATGGAGAATTGACTAAATAGAGGATAATCCCAGATAGGTCTAAGTTATATAGATTTGATAGAAAAATACAAAAGTCAATTTGAAAGTTTATTTCCACAATACCAGGATACTTTTAAAAAGAATATGCCTGTTAGAACAAATTTAAGAAGTTATAAGATAAATGCAGGAGGATAAAAATTTGACGGCATCTGTATAAAAGGTAAAGTTAATAAAAGGTAAAGTTGTGTGTTAGGTAAAGATGGAAATCCTTTTTGAGAAAGTGTTTTAAAGTTAGAACCAGTCTTCAGGAGGAAGAGATGGGTTTCCAAAGTAACAGCCTCCGAGAGACAGAGTGATGGGTTTTGGGTTTCTCTAGGTGAAGCGAGCCCAAGGAACAGTCAAACTGTCAAGGTTAGAATTGGGAGATAGAGGCTCCACAAATTTACTTTAATATAATGTATGTTGGAGGGTATGACTATGTCAAGGTGTACATTTTGCCATGGTCCCGGAGAAGAACTCCAGGAAAGTTTTATTCAGGTAAGCTGTATGGATATAGGTATAGTGTTAACCTATTACTTCCATTGGAAGGTATTTCATCAATACTGTTTCCATGAAAAGGGATTTAGCTTTTAAAATCTAATGTAACCAGCAAAACTCATATAGGCATTGATAAGACCTATTGTATATATTAAAATATGGGTGCAATTTTTTTTTAGGTCATTGGTATAAAATGTAAAGATAACGTAATAGTAGATTTCCTATCCAACTTGGAGGAGATGACTGAACCTTAGGTGGGACAGGCAGACCAGACGAAGGAAGGTATAGTGTGGTAAGACTATATTGTTTAGAATGTGTGTATCTTTGTACTGTTATAATATGTAGGATTAACAGATATTGTCTTTAGAAACAGGAAAATGTGGTAATGTTGATGTATATGAATATTAATGTTTTAAATATAGATGTTGTATATTGCATTCAATGAGTTTTTTTCTCCTCTTCAGCAATATTTTAAGGGTAGGGTTGTAATGTAACGAAATAGCTAATTATAAGGTATGATTTAAATGTGTTTATTAATGTTGGGATATGGTAAGTGCAGGCCAGCTTATGTGTCGCCTGAGCTGAGGCATGGCAATAGTGACGGAAACGGCTGTTAGAAAGTATCCAAGTTAGCGAAGCCAAAGGGGCGGAGCTAACTGCCACTTGGCAGGGCAGGCATTTTATGAGAGTCAGTTTTCTTTTAGTCAGGGAACAAAAGTGGAAGTTGGGTTCTGGTGTGTGGAGAAACTGAACCCAGGGGTTTAAGTCTTCAGCCTGTGCATTTACAGAGTCAATTGGACCTGTTTATATTAGTAATTAGCTCGTGAGCTAAGGGATAAATAAACCCCACTAGAAACCCATAACTTCAGTGGGGATAGCTGAAGGGAGAAAAAGGCAAGTCAGTGCCTTGAATTGTCAGTTAAGAAAAGGAAGATACTTCGCAGTGAACTAAGTTTAAAACCAGTCTGGTGGAAGTAAAAGCCATACTGGGAGTTATATTGGAAACTGTTTAACTAAAGTCAACTGCAACAACATTTAAAGGAATACAGAATAACCATCAAAAGTTGTACACCTGTGAATGAATATATATTTCCTTGATCCGTTCTTTATAATTAAGACTCATGTCCATTTATTGAGAAGAAGATTTATCTCAGAAGAAGGCAGCTGAAGATATTGGAAGAAGGGATTCTGGTTGGGGTAATGAGTTACTCCTTTAAAAAAGTGCCTCAAGTAAAACATTTCAAAAGTCAAGCCTCAGCTACACCCACCACCACTACTTTAGTCTCCTCATTGCCCTGGTTATATGTGTGTGTGTCATTTGTTCGTCGTATTTTACATTCGATATAAAAACCCCTCTGTGAAGACTGTATGTTGATTGCTGTGCACAGATCTCCACGTATAAACAAATTCATGCATAGGCACCTTCCAAGAAAAAGACTTCGAAAATGCCTGTGTGTGGATTTGTTTTTTGTGTGGAGATCAGTGCACAGCAACTACCACATAGTCTTCACAGAAAGAGGCTTTGAAACAAATAGACTATTGGTATACCCGACAAAGGTGCACGCTCTACCTAGACTCTTTCCACAACTCATTTGTTGTTATCTTTTACTCTCTTCTTAGGTGTATTATTGTTGGTTTTTCCTTGTGTTAAAAATCTCAAATTTAAAAATATGAATATTTAGTGTCTTCCAAATTATTCTACCTACAAATCTGTGTTTTTCAGGGAAAAGGCATGAAATTAATGGCATGTCCATATTGTCTCATTTAGGTGTCAATGAAATCTAAACGATCAATTTAAAGTTTAAAAGGTTACATAATTGGTCTTGTGGGTTTAAATGCTCTTATCAGACTTCCTGTCTAATTGAGAAGAGATAACTAATTCCAATATTTCCGTAGATTCCAATGTCTCATTACAACCACTTTATTGTGACATTTTAAGAGATTTGATATTTATCGATTTATAATGCAAACTAATTCACAACAGAATAATCAATATTTTAAAAGAAAAAAGGAAACTATACATATAACATGTAACTGTATACTCAAATCTAAACTGAACTAAAACTGTAACACACATCGCTGTACTAGCATCATTACAACAAACACAAACTAACTAATTACCAACTATAGCACAAAAACTCTGGCCCCCACTGTAAATGAATTGTAAACTACAACAATTGAAATATATTAATCTAACATTTTAAAGATAGCAAAATTATTTACATTATTACATGATTAGATTTCCTATTGCTCAAAATGTACATAAATTGTTTCCAGATTTTCAGAAACTCTTCAATTTAAAAATCTTTCAAAATAGCATCTTATACATCATCTTTTACATATTTTCTTTTACATTACCATACAAACTAAATTGTATATCTTTACCCCACATTTCCCCCATACATACATTTATACATTATGTTCTAAATTATAGGTCCACCTTATCATGTACTCTTTTACAGATTCATCTTTTCTTGGATTAGGACTCTGGAAGATCAAATCCCTGCTCAGGCATTGACATTCACTAGCTGACATTGGGCAACTCATATTATATTAGGAAGGCAATGGTAAACACCCCCAGAACACATCTTGCAAAGAAACAAAAACACATATCTAGTCATGTGTCTTACATCACATTTAAGGAGGGAAATGAGACATTCCAAGAATGCAGGTTTCTGGGAGGAGCAATGTCAGTCTTATTGTTGTATCAATTGAGTTTTTAAAAAACCATCCCTAGTGATCATTAACAGTAATTCAATTCCAGGTGATCTATTTGTCATATATGCAATGTTACACGCACTCAATTGGATGGGAAGTGGAATGTCTTCTCCTCCCTTGTACATAAGGGTTAAATGTCTACTGCTCTTTTTTCATGTTAGGAAGTACTGTGTCCGATGCTTATGATGTGAGCATACATTTCTTTTATGAGGCGAATACACATTTCTTTCAAATTAGGATTGGTTAATATTAATATAATAGTGTGTGCAGAGGGAAATGCAGACATCCAGATGCCAATAAGCAGTCCTTGAACAGTCGTAATATCTCCCTCAGTAGAATTAATGATGGCATAAACTATCACACCAATGAAATCTACAAAGTAGAAGAAGAACCAGAACAACAAAAATGTCATGACTTTAATGTGGACCTGAGTGTTGAGGTCCTTAACACCAACACCACTTTTCTTGAGATTTCTTGTGTGTCTCCACAGAGAGACAAGCAAAAGAATGATTGCAATTGTACTTAGGCCCAAATTTAGGACATAAAAAGAAAATTGAATGGGAAGAAAAACAATGACAGCTTTGTCACAAACCTTTCTTTGGCTGGCATTCTTCGGCAGAGTCTCTGTGAGATTGCACCACTTTGTGTATCCAAAATAATCAACAAGCAAAGGAAGACAAGAAATTGTGAAAACGGCTATGGACAGTCCAAGCAACCTGGGTACAAGCATATTGATCCTTGCTTTCAGCCAGAGGAAGAGCGGGTTGGCAAAGTTGGTGACCTTCATACAATAAAAAACACTCAGCCATGTGGCACACCAGTGGCTGGTCATGTTGAAAAACATCCAGGAAAAGAAAAGAACATCATATAAGAAAAGAGGTAGTTTAATATTTACAATTAAGTGCAGACTGCCGTTTATCAGCAAACCCAGCTGCATGATAAACCTGGAGGTACTCAGGCTGTTCAGAAGGAAATCAGAAGGAATCATCTTCCTGTTTTGCAACCATTGGTGTCCATTCACAACTAGAATGAATCCATTTCCCAAAATACCAATAAAATACACAATTCCAAAAATGATCAAACAAAAGATTCCAACTATAGATATATTGTTAACCATCACTACTGCTTTCTGGGGAAATTCACTGAAAGGAAGTGTCGAGTTGTATTCTCTGGGTTTCTGCCTGATGTCTCTTAGAGAACACGGCTGTTTAGTTCATTTGAAACAACCAAATCATACTACAGAGTTCAATGCAAAACTCAGGAAGATTGTGTTACTAATTATGATTAGAGTAAATACAGTATTAATCTCTACCTGCTTTTTTCTTAAGCTGAATGATACAAGTCTATAAATAACTGAAGTTCATATCAGCCACATAATACCAGGTTGTATTATGTGGCTGATATGAACTTCAGTTATTTATAGACTTGTATCATTCAGCTTAAGAAAAAAGCAGGTAGAGATTAATACTGTATTTACTCTAATCTAATGCATGATCGAATCTAATGTGCACTTCAATTTTCAATACCTTGAAATTAAAAAAGGTATTTACTGGCAAATCAAATGTGCAGTTGCAAAAAGTTTATTCTTTGTAATGTGACCAAAAATGTATATGTTATAGATGCTGTCTGGGCTGTAGCCAAGGAGAGGGGTAGAGGTTCAACCTCCTCCCCCCAATTTTTCAGCTTAAAAAAAATCCTGGTTTATTTGTAAATTTTAACAGGTTAACCAAATCCCCATGCCAAGTCTATGAGAAGCAAAAAATAAAGTAGTCCCTCCAGAACTGCAAGTAGTATCTCAACCAATTTTTGACAATTTATTCACACTGTCATTACTTGCAGCAATAGTCAATATAGTGGAAGCAACCAAGTTTGCCCACCCATAACTGGCAGGCAACGCCTAAGGCCCTCATGAAGGAGACCAGACTTGGTGGGGGTGCTTGACAGGGGCAGAGCTGCAGGTTATTTAAGGCTGCCCCCTCCCCCACCACTACCACTTTGCTTCAGGGTGAAGTAGCAGGCAGGTTCCTAATGGGAGATTAGGCCTTTCTCTCCTTGCTCCCCCCCCCCTTACCAGATAGTAGGGTTCCCATTGCTATACATTTGCCCCAGGGATTCACCCTACAATTTGGGCAGTTGCTGCTCTTGGTACTTATTGGCAGGATGTCCCAGCAGAGCATAAGGTCTGTGCTGGAGCTTTGGGTGGCTGCACTAAGCAGAGTTCCCCTCCTGGGTTGCCTCAAGGAAGGCACATCCTGTAGTACAGCATTTCTCAACATGGGAGTCGAGACCCCTGAGGGAGTCATGAGGGGGGGGCAGAGGGGTCGCCAAAGACCATCAGAAAACACAGTATTTTCTATTGGTCATAGGGGTTCTGTGTGGGAAATTTGGCCAAATTCTATCATTGGTGGGGTTCAGAATGCTCTTTGATTGTAGGTGAACTATAAATCCCAGCAACTACAACTCCCAAATGTCAAGATCTATTTTCCCTAAACTCCACCATATTGAGGATTCATGCCAAGTTTAGTCCAGATCCATCATTGTTTGAGTCCACAGTGCTCTCTGGATGTAGGTGAACTACAACTCTAAACTCAAGGTCAGTGACCTCAAACCCTTCCAGTATTTTCTGTTGGTCATAGGAGTTCTGTGTGCTAAGTTTGGTTCAGTTCCATCATTGGAAGGTTGCTGTAGCAGATGAGGTTTGCCCCCTCTTCCCCTTTAGAATAATCTCTTAATAAGTGAATGCCTGGGTATGTCACACTCTCTGAACCTCAAGTAATGTCACAGAAGAAGGTTGCTGTTGTATCCCAGGACAGGAAGCACGTTTAAATTTGCCCCAGGGATTCACCCTACAATTCGGGTGATTTCTTGATACAGGGATTAGGCAGGGATTTCCCAGCAGAGCATAAGGTCTGGCCTGGAGGTTTGGGTGGCTGTACTAAGCAGAGTTCCCCTCCTGGGTTTCCTCAAGGAAGGCACATCCTGTAGCACAGGCCCGTAGCCAGGATTTTGATTCGGGGGGTGCTGAGTTTGATTTGGGGGAGGGCTGAGTTTGATTCAAATGGGGGGGCTGAGGATATACCCTAGCAAACCTTTTGTGTCATTATCCCAATAGCCCCATGCATATGGGAGCTATTGAGCATGGTGTTCAGATCATGATATGAATAAACATAACAGTTTAAATCATGTACCAGTAAGGCCTTCTCGTGGACACCCTGAGAATTTGGGGGGGGGGGGGAGGCTGAATTAATGAACAATAATTCCCTGACCTGACCGATTTCTGCAAAAATGCCCTCAGAAGCACTTTATTACTTGTTAGTGCAATCAAACCCTACCTTATCTTCCAGATCCCCCGTCCAGATACACTACATTGCTGTCTCACCCAGTGTTTAATTTTTTAAATTTTTGATCTATTGGAACTGGCCCTGCCCACTGTGATCGGGTTCTGTGTTTTAATTGCTGCAATTTTATTTGTTTGATGTGTTATTTGTAATGGTTTTTGTATTGTATGTTTATTTCTTGATATTTTATTGCTGTGTTCTGTGTATATTGATGTATTGTATGGCTGGGCTTGGCCTCATGTAAGCCTCATGTAAGCTGCCCGAGTCCCCTTGGGGAGATGGTGGTGGGGTATAAATAAAGTTTTCTTTTATTGTTATTTATTGTTGTGGATGGCTGTCCTTATTATTCAAGTTCAATCAAATTTGACTTTAAAAAAAAAAGCAAGACCACATTTTGCCTGTAAGTCCTAATATAAATGTCAAGATATAATGATAATTATAAAATGAGACACTTTAAACTGCACACACAAATGGTCAAGGTAGTATAAAGGTTTGTTCTTGCACAACTCAGTTCAGGAAATAAGGTTTTCAAAATGTAGAAACCTTATTTAAGATAATAGGGTTCCTAACTGTACTACAGACATTTCACCTCATCACATGTGGAAAAAACTGCCCTGGGATGCTTCTGCCCCAGTTCATTCATGGAGCCCCTCACCTCCCATCAGACAACATGGGTTAACTTCTGGTAGGGTTCCATGGGTGAACTAGGGCAGCAGTGGGGTAGGACACTGCGCCGCCAACACAGTAGCCTCCCCATGATCCATTAGGAACAAATGGGCTACCATGGGATTAAGCCATGCGGCAACACTTCTCCACATGTGATGAGAAAGCATCAGCTGCCAGCTAGGGTGCTGAGATTGCACCGCTGCTGCCCCAATTCATGCCGGAAGCTGGAGAATCACAACACTGGACCTCATCCATGTGATGAGGTCCATTGTCAGGTTTGAGAAATTAGCAATTGCCCAATTCACTTGCAGGTAAAGCAATTCAAATATTTCACTGGGCTTTTGTTCCATTTGCCAATATACAACATAAGCCCCTATTGCATGGACTTTCCCCCTTTTGGCTCTTAAATCAATACATTTTCTAATATCCCCCTCAGCCCTTTCTCCCTTGAGACTGTGACAGTAATATTATTCCTGCTTGCAGATCTATATAAATAAAAATGTAATGTTTGTTTGTGCTACCATCAGAACTCAAAAACCACTGGGGGAATTGACACCAAATTTGGACACAAGACACCTAACAGTCCAATTTATGTCCTCCACTCAAAGAAAACTCCAAAGAAACAGCAGAAACCCCAAAAATCCACACAAGGGAAGGGCAGGCATTACAGCACTGAGAGCCAAGCGTGTGCGCATGCACAGCCATACAAATAGAACGAGACACACAATAAAACTTTTAGGACAGTGATGACATAATTCCAATTGACGTTGTCAAACGCCTTTTCGGCATCCAAAAGCATTAAGGCTATTTCTTTCTGGCTATTTTTTTCATAATAACCGATGACATTCAACGCCGTTCTGATATTGTCTTCCAGTTGGTGTTTTGGGAGAAAGTCTGCTTGGTCTTCTTCTATCCTGGTGCTTAGTAATTCTTTTAGCCTGTAAGCGAGTATACCTGTGAATATCTTGTAGTCCACACTGAGTAGTGATATCAGTCTATAATTTTTGACCCTTGTGTTGTCTGAATTTTCTTTATGTATTAAAGAGATTATTGCAGCTTTCCATGATTCTGGTATTGTTTTTTCTTCCATTATTTTGTTCAGAACCTTTTGTAATTGTTGTATAAGGATATCTTGGAACGTATTGTAATATTTGGATGTTAGTCCATCAGGTCCAGAAGCTTTGTTCGCTGCCATATTCTGCATCACTCTCTTTATTTCTTCTTGTGTGATTTTCTTGTTCAGGTCTTCTCTTTGTTCATCTGTTATTTTTGGTATCACCTGTGTTCCTGAGTATTCCATTATTTTTTCTCCCGGTATATTGTCATCTTTGTATAGTTCTTTATAATATTTTGCAAATTGATCAATAATTTCCTTAGTTTGAAAGTAACATTTCCCTTTGGATTCTATTTTTGTTATGTGTCTGCTTTGTCTTCTTATCGCATTTTTTTCGTTAACCATTTCCCTATCTTATTAGCATTCTCAAAATGGTATTGTTTTACAAATTTGAGTTTCTTTTCTATCTCTTCTGTTTGTAGTATATCCATTTGTTTTCTTAGTAATTCCAGTTGAGTGTTTTTTTTTTTTTTGTCTACCGGATTTACTTTAGCTTGTGTTTCCCATTTTATTATTTCTTTCTCACGTTTGTTATATTTTTCTCTTTTTAGTTTGTTAATTCTTCCTGATTTAAGGTTTGGGTGAAGAAGATTATATCATACTATGAGCATCCTAGCATTTATCTGGAGGGAACCCCCCCCCTCCCTTTGTCACTTTTAAATCAGTCATGCTACGCAGAAGTAATGCATTTTTTTCTTTTTGGTTTTGTTTAACAAATGAGGCAATAATCTATTATTCAACATTTGCTAAGGTTCAGTAGTCTTCAACTTGTTGAAACAGATACACTCCCCGGACCTTTCTTTATGGAGAAATTTAAGATGCTTTGCAATTTGTCAGTAACTCCGCATATAGCCAGAATTGATTCTTGTTTGTCAGGTATAGCCTCCACATTCATGGATCTTGCAAATTTGGCAGTAGCGTGTTTCAGACAAATAGGGTTTAACAACCATAGAAAATCCAAAGCTCGCTAAAAGGAAATTTATGGAACAAACAGATTTC